CTGATACGATTTTGTGACAAAAACAATTTTTCATTAAAAATATAAAAGTACAGTGTCATTTTGAATATGCTTTTTCAACATACACATGGAATTATGGAGATTGTTATACAACATTCTAGGGAAGTGAAACCCTTGGGATGAGAAATGATGACTTATAGCCTAGTAGGGCAAAAAAACCTAACTGACAATTACAGGGATGATTCCAAGGTGGGGATTTTAGCAGCTGTCACTGTGGCATAGGGCTTTAAGCTGCCACTTGTGATGTGGGCATCCCATATCAGAGTGCCAGTTTGAGTCCCAGCCACACTGCTTCTAACCCAGCTCCCTGATAACGTGCCTGGGAAAGCAGCAAAATATGGCTCAAGGGCTTGGGCTCCTGCCACTGACGTGGAAAACCCAGATAGAGTTCCATGTGCCTGGTTCTGGCTTGGTCCAGCTTTGGCTATTGCAGCCATTTGGGGAATGAACTAGCTAGATGGAAGTGTGATCTCTCTCTCTCTCTTTCTCTTTCTGCATTTCAAACAAATAAAATAAACCTTAAAAATGAAAAACGTGGGGACTTTGTGGGGGAGGGAACATTTAATTCTAACTTAGAAGGGCAAAGAAAATAACAACAAAAAAAGCAGTATTCTTTGAAGGCTCAGTAGGAGCTAGGCAGGCAAAGGCAGAGCATTCCAGATTAAAGGAGCTACCAGGTAGAAGGACCTGGGGGCAGAAAAGATTGAAAATTCAGGAAGCTTCAATTGGTTCAGTTTGGTTGGTGACTAGAATGCCAATGGTGACTTTTGTTTCCTGAGTGCACAATTCCCAACAGCTTACCCCAAATCAACACAACATAATAAAAAGTAGGTTTGCCATGCTAGAGTGCTTTCATAGTATAAATTCCCCAACCCCACCCAACCGTCAACATATTAATTAAAAGGTCATATGCAATATAACTAAGGGAGGTATAGTGAAGGAAGCAACAGACTGGAACTTCACAATAAGTCACTACAGCCCTCCCTAGTGAGGTCACCTGCCCCATTTTTAAAATGAATAGTTGACCGTGCCCTGGATGATCTTTAAGGTCACTTTGGCTGTGTTTGGGAAGGAAACCACCATGCAGATGTTATAAGAAGATCAAACAGAGGTCTGTATACCTTCACAAAAGCCCAGGTTGATCCTCAAACATTCCTCTCTGACCACTGCTCTATCATCATTTCATAAAAGGCAAAGCAACCTAAATGAAATGTTTCCTAATTCTCAGTTCTTAAGTAATATTTTAAAAGCTATTTATGTTCTTTTAATTTATGTTTTATGTATTAGAGAGTCAGAGACCTCTCATGTGTGGCTTCACTTCCCAAAAGCCTGCAATACCCAGGGCTGGGGCAGGCCAACGCCAGAAATTCATTCTGGGTCTCCCATATGAGTGGCAGGTACTCAACTACTTGAACCATCATCTGCTGCCTCACAAAGGTGTAAACTAGCCAGAAATTGGAATTGGGAGTGGATCTGGGACTTGAACCCAGGCACTCTGTCATGGGATGTAGGCATCTTAATTGTTAGGCCAAATGTCCACCCTCAGATTGCAAGTTATTTTGATCAGGAAATAAATGCATAAAATATTCAGCTAGAGGTTAAGAAACAAGAGACTTCTCTCAGGTTACTATTAAAAGAAGAAATGAGGACATTTCACTTTTCTAGTTTTTACCTCAGTCTTCTCTGCACTCTTATAAAAAATACATGACACATGCAAAGTGATGATAAAGATAATATCTGCAAATGAGGAGATTCATTTTAGGCCTGCAGAGAAAGTTCAACAACAATTATCAATTGGAACTTAGTCTCTTGAATCAATCACAAAACTCACAATCAGGGTCAGACTTCTCCATGAATTCCAAATCCCAAGACTTCTTCCTGAAAGCAGGTAGCCTTTGAGACACTACTACTAAGATTTTAAATCAGCTGGGGGACAGTTTCCAAAGCTGTCAGTTTCACAAGCTCTTCAGGAAATTCTCATGGGTGGTAGTTATGGGATCAAATGTACTATGTCAAAAGGTGAACTGAATAGTTAAGAATGAGGATAAAGATATGTAGAGGACAATCATATAGAAAGTAGAGTGTGGGCTTCAGGTGCCTTCACTGGGCGGTAGATCAGCAGAGAAAAGGGAAAAGGGAATAGTTTTACCTGGGTATGGAAGGGGGCTTGTGCATCCACTCCTTTAGCGAATACTATGAGCCCATATGGACCAGACATTGTAGTAGGCACTGGGGATTGCAGAAGTACAGAAGACAAATGAAGTCCCTTGCCTTCATACTGATACACACTCTTATGACTCTCCTCACCCACCTGTTACAATTGCTGTATTTTCTCAGTGAATTCTATAGGCAGAGTGTCCCCAATGATTCCATTGAAGAAGGGCTCTCCAGCAGAGGAAGTAGGAAATTCTTAAAAAAAAAAAAATTCATGGCCCCTTTGTTTTCTTCTTCAAGACTGTCCCTTCAAGAGATACTGCAGCTGGAAGTGAAGGCTTTCTCACCTACATGAAGCACCACAGATCACACTGGAGGTGTTTCCAAACTTGTACATCTTGTGGTGTGAACACAGGCTTCCCAGGGAAAGCTCTGCCAACCTAAACATTTTCCTAGCCTGGATTAACCAAACAGCAATGTCCCTGGTAAAGAGTATCCTACAGGGATAGCCTTGTGCTGCCCCTGCTCCAGAACCTCACTTAGAGGCAGGCAGGCATTCTGCCAAATCAATCTTCCTAAAAAGCACAATTGGGTGGAATCACTTCCTGCTCCTGGACAGAATCTAGTACCGGATCAGATATCTGAGGCCCTCTATACTTCGGCCTCTGCCTTCCTGACCCACTTCACTGTTTCCGCCTCAAATTTTGCTAGATAACCTGACCCTGTTGCATCCTGTATCTGCTCCCTCCCTACCCATTTTTCTGAACCCTGTTCAAATACCACCTCTCCCAGAAGCTGTGACCATTTTGGCAAGGAGTGCCTCTGTCCTCTGAAATTTGCACAGCCCTTGGGTGCTTTTCCCACAGTTAGAAGTGTTTTCTTGCCTACATGATCTCTCTATCAATGCAGGATGTGATCTTTGAGAATAAGGATTGTTTTTATGCTTCTCTGTGTCCATTCTCAGGGCCTAGCACAATGCTTCAGTATTTCTTGAGAGCAATAGCAACGTTTTATTCTAACAGGGAAGTTACTTTGTTTTATTTTAATGAATTGACCAGTTACAAATCTACTCCAAAGGCCATGCTTTTGAAGCAGAAACAATGCCCTAATATGAACATAAAGGCAAGATTTTATTAACCTATTAATATATTAAGCAGTTTTGGGGACATTCTGAGGGAAATTGTGGCTCTTTAACATTCCCCCATTCCTTCTGTAATCTCCTCCACCCCAACTCTACCTGCTCTATCTCCTTAATCACTTCCACTGCACTCCATTTCACTCTTTTATTCAAAACCACTTGAAATTTTTTGACTAAAGGACTGTCACTTCCAAATCCTTTGCACCCTCAATTCCCTCCCCATGTTCTTTCAGGCCAGAAGAGGTAGATCTTCCAATACTCTGGTAGCAAAGCGCATCCCTCAGACAATGTCAGGAACTCCATGGCTGCCCTAGTATTCAGAGCTCAACACACTTACAATCTTTTGTTATTTATACAAGTTTAAATTATATAACAGTAGTTACCAGATCAAGCATAGATATTCTATTTGGTGATTTCTAAATTGACCTATTTTGTTGCTTTTTCTAAAATATAATGGATTTCAATGTTTTAGTTGCTTTTCTTTTATATGTAAAGATTGTTTAAATTTATTTGAAAGTCAGAGTTACAGAGACGGAAGTAGAGACAGATTTTCCATCTGCTGGTTCACTACCTAGATGGGCACAATGGCCAGGACTGGGCCAGGCCAAAGCCAGGAGCTTCATCAGGGTCTGTCACATGGGTGGCAGGGGCCCCACTATCTTCCATTTGCTTTTCCCAGGCCATTAACAGGGAGGTGATCAGAAGTGGAGCAGGCAGGACACAAACCAGCGCTGATATGGGATGCTGGCATTGCAGGTGGCACTTTACTTGCTACACCACAATGCTGACCCCTATTTATAGATAAAGAACACTTACTGAGTGCATTTATGTGCTAAACATTGAGTTAGACCATTGAAATATGAACTTCATTTGATCCTCACAATGACTTCTGGATGACATAGTTATATTTTACAGATGAAACACTGAGGTCAGCAGACATTAAGTGATGTATCCAAAATCATGCAGTTAATTTGTGGAGCTAGGATTCCACTGTTGGTCCTTTTAATAGAAAGCTCATAGTCTTTTAGTTCTACTATGATGTACCTTTAAACAAAATCTAGAAGCTCATTCTGAATTCCAGGTCTTGCATTTTAAAACAGATATCACCAAAAAGATATAGCCCTAGAAAAACAAACTTTCTAAATTCCTAAGAAGAGGGAGCACCCCTGGGCCACCAGGGACACTCTTATTTTACCTTATTGTACCCTTAAATAAAACCCAGAAGTTCATTCTACTTGGTCTTCTTCACCAAAAAGATGTAACCTCAGTAAAAGGAACTTTTTACATTTCTATGAAAAAGCAGCACCACTGGGCCACTAAGAAACACAATCTTAGGCTCTCAAGTATTGTTTTTTTCCTAAAAAGTGCAGTGAATTAATTCAGTACCAAGTATTACCAGTCCAACCATCATAATCACCAAAATTGTTCACTATTTTTCAAATTATGAAAATCACAGCCTAGTAAATATTACGTGCAAAATTTCTTTGAGAAATCAGGTGCATGGTACAGTGGAGTAAAAATGGAAAACTCCAGATTTCACAAAGATGTCAAGTTTTACATTTCGGTGCAATGTAACTGAATTGGCAAAGACCATTAGAATCAGCAATCAAAACCGGAAGGATAAATTTTCCTTTCACCAAGTAAACACCCACTCTGTCCTTCCCATTTAGGAATTTAAAATAAGATCACATTTATTCATTCAACAAACATTTATTGAGCACCAGCAAGTGTGCTAGGTGCTAATGTAATTTAACAAGGCTCCAGCCCTGAATGAATACTTTTGCTGTAAGTGATCTTGTTAACTACTACATGACATCTGAGGTTCTCTGCTACAATTATACTTTTTAGGAAGTCAGAGTCATATGAGGCCTCTTCTGAAATACTTTTAAAGTTTCTTTACGGCAAACTTGATAGAAATCTGTTTAACTTAAGGAAGAAAGATGATCTCCGGCACCCTCCGGACAAGCGTGTTGAAGGTCGACTTAGCGCTCAGGCAATGTGGTGGTTGGTGACCAGTGACGCAGTTTTAGACCATTCGGTTGCGCTTGTAGGTTGGGGAGTCTGTGATGCCATCACCGCAACGGGCCGAGGTGCGCTTGCGGGTCCCCCCACTGTCCAGGTGTTGGGCAACTTCTTCTGGGTTGAGGTCGTCCTCAAAGAAGCTACTTCTTCGGCGGCCACTGCTGGCGACACCACTCTCTTGAGATGGGGAGCCAGGCGCGCCAGACCGCATGCTGATTCCCGCCATCGCGCCGCTGAGGCAGTGTAGGGCTATAGCCTCGTGGAAAGGCTGTAGGTCGACGTCCACTGATGAGCTGGATTCGGTGGCCGCAGCCTGGCCAGCGGCCCCAGTGAGCGGCTTCGGGGACGTCCTGGGAGGGCGTGGCGGGGCAGGGGCGGGGGGAGCTTTGCCACAGAGAAAGCTAATCAGATCTTCGCGGCGAATAGTGCTTCGGCCCTTTTTCACCCACTCCAACACATCTCTGATGCGACGCTGGTAGCCAACCTGGACGCCTAGCTCAAAACTTCGTCGGTGGGCATTCCCGCTCTCTTTGTACAGGCTGGTCACGGCCATGGCCGCATGCTGGAAGGGGTCCCACACGGAGAGTCCTGGCTGTGGGCACCCAGAATCCTTGTAGAGCTGAGCCACAGCAGTGGCCGAAATCTGGAAGAGGTGCCACAGCTTCTGCTGCTCGCTCTTCAGCCCTGCCGCCTCGGCGGCCGCCTCCTCCTGCAGCTCGGGGAGCTGCTGCTCTTCCTGCTCGGCCTCGGCCAGGCACTGGCGCTCCCACTTAGACAACCAGGGCTCCGCGACCTCGGCCTCGCCCTCCTTCGGCTTCTCCTCCATCCTCCTCCACCTCCTCCACCTCCTCCACCTCCTCCACCTTCTCCACCTTCTCCACCTTCTCCACCTCCTCCTTCAGGCCGCGCGCCTCCTCTACCGCCTCCTCCTCCTCCGCCTACTCTTGCTCTTCCACGTCCACCTCACCTCCTGCTCCGAGATCCCCTCCACCTTCCGCGGCGGCCGCCGCCGCCGCCTCCTCCGCGTGCGCTGGCGGGCGGGTAGGCGAGCGCGCGGGCGGCAGGGCCCTGAGGCCAACTGCTACGGCTCGCGCCGCCCGCGGCCCGGGAGTACGCCCCGCCCCGCCCCGCCGGCCCGGCCCCCGGCAACGCCGCGGTCGCTGTCTCTGCTGCCGTAGAGATAACCCCGCAGCCGCTGGTGCCGCTGCGCTGCCCCTTCCGGCCCCGCGGTGCGCTCCTACGGCCCCCCCATGGCGCCGCGGCCTCCCCGCAGCCTTAGTCACCACCGCCGCTACCGCCACGGCCCGCAGCCCGGCCCCAGCCCCCGCTCGCGCCGCGGCTGCAGCACTGAGAACTTGGAGGGGGGGCCGGCTGGAGCGCTGCCTCAACGCGGCGCTTGCCTACCTCTTGGCCCCCTTTTCACACATTTTTAGGACTTGTCGGCTTCATCCAATGAGCTGATCAAATTTTACATCCTATGTTGCCAGAGAGGATTATGGGGCAACTTCATGGTGTCGATCACATCCAGGGCGCCGATCCGGGGAGGCCGGGAGGGTAGAGTGGAAAGACCGCGGCCCTCATGAATAGGCAGCAGTCTGAACTCCAGAAATGACCTCCACACACAGGTGCCCGAGGAAAGTGTTTTCCTCGGACTGAAAAAGTATTTTGATAAGGAAAAAAAATATCATATCAGGGTATGCGCTCGCCCTTTTTCCGACCTCTGCTTCTTCGACTCAGTTTCCCCAAATGCCTGAGGAGGTTTCTGGACAGATTTCTGGAAAGCACTTTCAGTCGTGATATAGAACTTGCCTGCTGTCCCCGCAAAGCGCCTCTCGGGGCTGGTTGTATAGTTAACAAATTATAGAAGTAACGGTCAGAAACGATCTTCATTCTCCTACTACCCCCCATTCTCGCAAAGGTTTTTATCATTTAAAAATGTGGTGGTGCTGGTGGGGGTTCTGTGTGGTCAACTCTCAGCTACTGAAAATTCTAAGATGAAGGAAAAGAAAAGACAAAAAGAAAGCTCATACGCGAGATTCTGCTCTAGTATAAAATTCAGTACCTTTTGGGAAAAAAAAAAGACAAAAAAGTTACCTGAATAACAGTACCCCTCAAAAACTGGTTACTTAAAACATCATAATAATACCAAAATTAAGCCAAAGCAGCATGGGATGATACTGTCTGTTCTTTAAGTTCAATAACAAATCCTTTGAAAGATGCAAGCCTTTCTCAGTGTAGCCAGTTCCAGAGCAAACTGTTAAAAGAAGAAAAATTCATACTGACCTAAGAATAATATCAAAATGGTAGAAATTAACATGTAAGGAGTGTTTAATTTGGGGGGAACATTTAGAATATTAGTCAAGTATCCAGAAAGAGTTACAAAGATAAAGCCAAATCTTCAAGCAAAATCTTTAAAAATTCCCAAGAAAATTAGTGCATAAAGTAAAATTATCTAATAATTAAGCTTTATCATCTTCCTTAAAAGAAACACATGTTTCCAAGTTAAATTTAAAAGAGAAGAAGAAGAAGAAGAGGGGATTGTACCCTTTCTCTGCAAACGGGGCTTTTTCACGATTCATTAAACCCTTTTTCCAAATGTGTAATTGGACTCTTCTCATTTACATAAACGAAGGATGAGGCAAAAGACTAAAGATCAGCCCAAAATGAGAGATATGTTTCTCATTAACCTATACTAAAAATATTCTAGAAGGAAACTTCAAGAAAGCAGAGGCCCCCTTTCTCAACCCCTGTCTCACCACTAGACCTGAAATACTTCATGGCCAAGGAATTAGCCTGTTTGCCAAAGCTGTGAGGGTTGCCCTGCACATGATGCCTCACCGTTTTTTTTTTTTAATCATAGGCATATGCTTTTATTTTATTTTCTCTAAATAAAAGGCTTGGACCTAAATGAGTGTCAGTAGGATACCATATCCTACTTTCTTTCTTCATTTTTGATTGGGTTAAAAACCAAGAAGAAAGACTGTTCTGTCTTTTAAAGAGCATAACTCTCTGCTTGGGCTGGAGTGATCTGGCTGGTATCCTCCATTCAGTTGGTTTCAGCACCTGATTAATTAGTTAATTAGTATTTAGAGCTGACTAGCCCCCAGTCGGCAATTTCCATGCCCTGCATGGCGAAATGTTGAATCCAGCATTGAAATTTCTGTCGCACACCCTAATTATTATCACCCCACTACTTTTAAAACCATTGCACCAAATTACTATTATAGACAGAGCCAGACAACTGTGTGGGAATATATTCTTTCTCAGAAATAATGGTAGAGTTAATCAATATTTTTCACTGTTGCCCTTAACACATTTAAGTAAAACAATTAAATGGGAAAAATTCTAATTCAATTAGCCTCCAACTCCTTCCACTGAATAAGTGATTTTATATGAGATGTTATAAAAATCAAATAAAAATTTTAATAGTAGTTTATCAATTCCACAGATCATAGAGTGTGTTTACAAGATATGCTATTTGAAATTAATTTTGTTCCTATATAAGTCTAAAATTTCAGGAGTAAAAAAGGCAATACAAAATAGATACAAAAAAGATCATTTTTACTAGCTATAAGGAAATGACATTATCTTTGTGGGGCAGGGGTGGCTTTTAAAGTTTAAAAAATTGACACGGCTTATGAATGTTTTCTATAGGAAAAAATACTCCTTGGCCACTGCCCCATTCTTCTATAAATCTGATGTCATGACTAAGGTTAAAGATCAAGTAGGGAAAAGCAGTTTTAGAAAATAAGTTTAGGATGTAAACCTAAGGAAGTCTAATTTTTAATATTCCTCAATGTACCATTACCAAAAAGGGATCAGTGTTGTCAATGGTAGCTATTTTCACCTGGAAACAATCTTTATATACTAGTACAGTGAGTTGCCTGTAATTGTAAGAGCTAAATGGTACACAAAACTGGATACACAACTACACAGATCAGTAAAAGGGTGGGACTGAAAGCAAAAGTAAACACCAACCTTAGGAAATGAAAGAAGTTAAAAGATAAGTGTTAAGGACCTTATTCTTTTTGGAGAATAAAACAAGATTTAGTAGCTTTCCACTTAATTTAAATGAAAAGAACCACTACCTTACATATTGCAGTGATAATGTAATGGGGAAAGAAAACAAGAAAGTCTTTGTACAAATGACACCTCCTATAGTTGTTGTGAAGAAACTTTTCCCCTTGGTATCTGCTAACAAATTCTAATTAATGCTGCACATTCCTTTACTGAAATCATTTAATGCGTAACAAGGGGGGTAAAAAGAAATGCTGAATGCTCGTGATTGCCCTGTTAGAATTATGGGAGTGAAAGCCTGGGGCCCCAAACTTACTGTCTATTAAAGCCAAGCTTTGAAAAAGAAATGCAACCTACAAAAGCTGTCAATCTCCCTTGCCCCTAAAGCCTGGGTTCACATGGATTCAAGTGACAGCCCTCCTCCCCCATGCACAATACATCAATCTGTCTCTCCCACAAGCACCCACAGCCCATTGTGCTGGCCGCAGGTGCCTATTATGGCACCCATGGCTGCCTCCCACAGCTCCGCCCCTGAGAAACAGGAACTGCAGACAATGGAGCCCTGTGGGAAGACAGAGGTGGGTGTTGGGAGGGATAACAGACAGATGGTAAAGGGTATAGGGTAGTAAGGTAGTTTCAAAACAAATGTCAAACATTCAAAATTATTGCTTTTGCATTACCCCCCCCCCCTTTTTGAATTGCCTTTGCTTCAATCACCATCTGCCAAATTATGAAAACACTTACCTGTTAGGATATTTGCTTCTCTTTTTGGGTAGTGGTGGAGGGGATGCCCTTCATTACTCTACTGCTTCAAATTAGCCACTAGGTTTCTCAAGGTCACAGACTAAGGAGTTTCAGTTAAGTGACACCAGTAGACTATATAAAGTAAGAAAGAAATATTTCTAATTTTTAATAAGGCTTGTTATTTCCTTTCAAACTTAGTTTGGGACTCTCTAAGTGGTTAAGGGTTATAAAAACTAGTTATACTGAATAAGTTATTTGTGAAATCAAAGTACTATAAGATTTCTTAACAATTTCATACCAAGCAGATGGAAAATCTTAGGTCATTTCTTTTCTGATAAGTAAATACAAAAAGGGACATGAGGTAGACTTAATAATCAAAGTAGTAAGTTTCTGACTTGGCTTATTTTCCTATTCCTAAACATATCAATACATAAATGAAATTAAAAATCATAAATTCTATCACACTGAGTAACATTATCCAAAAAATGTTTTTTGAACATTGCATTTTGTAAAATGTCACTTCTCTGTGTTTTTATTTCCTGAGTTCTGAACTAATTGAGAAGCATTAAATATAAGAATTAAAATACACACCAAAAGCATGTATATGTATTAGTTCAACATGGTCATTTCAATATATCACCTATTTCTATTTTCCAGATAATTTATCCTAAGTTACAAAGAAATGAACAGTGATTTCATCACTACTAGTGCTACCTGTGTGAAACAAAAAATAACCAAGAAAAACTTGGCACAACTCTAAGTTATGGTCAAGACAATTGGTGACTTGTTAGAGTGAGGGTAACCCAGAACAATGCCAGGGACTAAAACCAGCCAGTTTTCCAAGCAAACAAGAGGGTCTTGGTTTGCTGTCAAAATCCACAAACTGAGCTTTAACTAGGAACTGTCAGAGATCCAAGTGAGCTCCTGGCCAGGCTGTGCTTAATTAGCAGAGTTGGTTTGGGTTTTTAAATTACACAAGAAAAACAACCGATGTACTATGAAAGCATATAGTGGTCTAATATAGTACAAAATTCAGTTTTTCATCATATTTGGATATGTTATTTTGCATGTTTCATTAACTTGAATTTAGATTTTGAATATTATTTTGTGCCAATTACTAAAACATGTTTCTTTTGTTTTCTCCTTGTATATTCTTTCAAAGATCTTTATATATTTATCATCAAATTCAAATATGAATCCTTCCTTTTTAAAAATGTAACTGGTAGCATACATAATTTTATAACCCAATAGATCTTGCAGATTAGTCCATATCAGAATATTAAGAATTTAAAGGGCATACTTCTTTTCTTTTTTGAAGATTTATTTATGTATTTAAAAGCAGAGTGACAGAGAGAGAGAGAGAGAGAGAGAGAGAGAGAGAGAGAGAGAGAGATATCTTCCATTGGCTGGTTCATGCCTCAACAGGCTGCAAGATCCAGGGCTGGGTCAAGCCAAAGTCACAAGCCAATAACTTCATCCTGGTCTCCCACACTGGTAGCAGGGTTTAAGTACTTGGGCCATCTTCCACTGCCTTCCCAGGTGCTTTAGTAGGGAGATGGATAGAAGACAGAGTAGCCAGGACTCAAACCAGCACTCTGATAAGGGATGCCATCATCAGAGGTGGTGGCTTTACATTCTGGACCAAAAGGCCAGCCCCAGTATGTGCTTAAATATGAATTGTTTTGAGTCA